TTTTTTTTTTGCAAACGGACATTTTGACTTCCACTATTTACACGGCAGCCGGGCATGTAAAGTTGAGACAGACACTTTGAACTTTATGTCACCTTTGTTAATTTACATGTAACTTAAGCTGAAGCTTTTCCTTTTATAAATTTCGATGTCTCTCTGAACTAATAAGCTTATATTTTTATCAATCAACCTTAATCCGCTTAACAGTGATTGGAAGAAAAGCACTGGAATAATTCTGCAAAACTGCAAATCAAGAGCATAAAGAATAATCAAAAGAACAATGTTGTGGATTTCATACTTCAACAAAGGAGCTCAAAACAAAGTTATGATATACCAATTCACTTGTTCTTTCAATACATGAAGGCATTAGCTACTCAAATTTTTCACTAATTTTTCACTTATCTTGTTAGTTAATACTATTTTTTTAATCCAATTTAAATGTTGAATTGCATTTTTCCCAATATTGTTCTGATCTTATTGTTCTGATTTTTTATGATCACCTACTGTATTTACATGTTTTTGTAAATAACTTATCTAATGTGTTAATAAAATGCTCAAAATACAGCTGACCATCTTGCAAAAGCAGCTCTTACAATCTCCGAGTTATGTTGCCATTGGCAGCTTGATTTAATTTTATTCATTTTTGACTCGTGGTCAGTCGTGGTTGCTCATTTGTGATTCGTGGTCACTCGTGGTCATTCGTGGCATTCGTGGTCACACTCGTGTGGAGTTTTAGAACAGATCGTTCGTTTATAGTTTATATGTCTAAAAGTTATATTGACTAGTCTATTACTTATACTAACAAGTTGGTCTATTTCTTTTCGTGGTTTACTCAAAACCACTCTACTAATGGTCTAGTCTAGAGTAGACCTGTATCCGATTGACAGGTAGCAACATATTCATCACAAAAGCAAGTTTTTTTTATGTTAATTTTAGTGGTTAGCTATTTGTCTATAGTCTATATATCTAAAAGTTATATTGACTATTACTAAGTGCTACTAACTAGTTGGTCTATTTCTTTTCATGGCGTGACGGAAAACCACTCTATGATAATAAATGTRCATAAATTGCAACGAGCACAATGCAGCATTTTACACGCTTGGGAGACACTATATAATAGCTTCTTGCAACCCTGATTTACAGTGTACGTACGTTGTGAAACCGCGCAGGCAGTCGATCATTTCTTCTGATAAAAATACTCATACTTTAGAATGGGGTCCAAGWGTGACAATCTCTCTGTTGTACTCCATGGAAAGAATGACTTACGAATGGTAAACTCACTACTTATGCATTAATTATGTATTTTGTATATTTTACATCATTTCAATGGTTGTTTTGTCAGGAAGGGCGAGCAGTATTCAGGCCAAAAGCTGAAGGTAAGACATCAAAAATAACGACTGAAATGAATGAAATAAACAAAGTTACGGAATACATTACCAAATATGCTCGGTTTTAATGCTGTTTGAGAAACTTTTACAGATCAGTGATCTTAGATTAAGGCTATAGTGATCAAACTCTGGACTTTGCCCTATATATCTTAACCATTTCCTTACTACCCTTCGCGCTGCCAAAGCGCAATAATCAATATATACAATATATTGGAGTGTGACAATGCCTGGTGCCGGTATCCGTCTTTGGATCGAAACGACCGGTATTCCTGGTGCCTGGTGGACAGCACAACCAGCGACTTTATTTACTTCAATTACACAATAATATACTGTTTACAACCAAATTATGTTAGGAAGAAATGTAGTTACAAGGTGTACAATACGCTGCCCGCTACGAAAAACCAGATAAAAMCACTTGGGAAAAATAACTGGAAACGTAGTCCTCGACCGATGCGGCGTATGAGCTCCGAGGGCTAGAGCTTAACTTTTATATATAACAAATTATCTTGCAATAAAGGCTTAATCACAAATACAGTAAGACCTAGACTTAAGTTAAATGTTTAGTTAAGATTGATAATTCCATATTTTACAATTCTGCTACTGTAACACCTGACGAGAAGTAAGATTTAATAGTCGACTTTAGATATTTTGGTTCAGTGACCATGCATAAAAGAATGGCAGACGAGGCTCCGGGAAAATAAAAGAATAAATCAAGATTATCCATTGTTTCCCCGGAGCCTCGTGTGCGTTCTATTGTACATAGTCATCATCCCCAGGGGTGCATCGTCATATAAACTTATCAATGATAATAGCGTATCACAATGTGATACAATACACTCAGAAACGTAAAGAAAACGCTTTCCTACTGCACGCTGTTCCGTCGGAAAGCTGTTATTCAGTACATGGCTGGATGGGGGTGCATTTCATCGTCGAACATGGACTTCAAAACACAGTCAAGCTGTATAATTTCATGTCGAATGATCGATGAAGTCTATTGCTAAAACGAAAAGACGGCTTTAAAGGAGCAAAGATTCAGAAAAAAAGACGAAAAGTAACTTTGAAAAGAAAGTCTTTATACGGTTTTTGGTAAAAAGTCCGGGCATATACTCCAAGTATGTCATCCAATTGTACACAGGCGGCTATCGAACAAAATTCTTTGTCTGCGAAATATTGTAATTTTTTGTTGAAAAGTAATTGACCTCAGTTTTTCAAAAACTTTATAATACCAAAAAATATAGCGAAACCAACAGATAGTTGAGTTTCGCGATCTATAGCACTTGTAAAATTTGCAAACAATGCAATTTCAAATACAATTCAACTAACACTTTTGAATTGAGCAKTATCTGCATTATTTGAGCTTTCAGAAAGTATATACTTAGCAGGCATTTGTTGCAAAACAAAAGCGCTATAGTGCCTGGCGCGACTATGGTACGCTATGTTAACCGCAAATGTTTGCACATGGTTGCAAGCGTGGCTTTCGATGAAAATAAAAACAATGTTGTCCCAACAGTAGAAAGCGAATTTATCCTTCTTAAAAACTAATTATGACTGTTGGAATACATTGCATACCAGACAAAACATGGCCAGTAAAGTCTAACGCTTTCTTTATTGTATTTGTATATTTCCTAAGTACACGTTCTCTTCATAAGCCAAGAAGAAAATTCATTTTAACGGAGATGCATAGGCATACAATAATTACCGTGGACTWAATCTCAAGATAGCGATGGGACGTTGATTTAGAAATTTAGCATGGAATACATGCGGAGGATTAAAAAAAAATTCCCATCGTGGGAATTACAATCCACTGATTTGTCTTCCCGCGAGCTGGAGCTGCATTCATCATGAGACTGTTTTTGTAGGAGCTCATTAACGTTCCATTACCGTTTTCGCGCAATCAGTGAACTAAAGCACGAACAGTATAAGTATTRGTGAGAAGATTTGTCATACGACTTCCGTGTGTGGTCGTGCCTGTACACGTGGCTGATGTACACAAAGAAGGCTCCTGTGTCTCAATGTGAAGTAGAAATTTTCCATGGCTTAAACAAAAGAAAGGACGCGCAGTTTTAGTAGTTTTGTCTGGGTTAGGGTAGTTTTTTGTCTAGGATAGGGTATAGTCTCATTGTCTGGGGTAGGGTGGARTTTTACCTGTGATCGTATTTGCCCGCTTACAGCGCTAAAATAATGTACCTTTAGTCTGRGGTAGGGTATGTAAAATGCACAAAAATTGGTCTGGGATAGGGTAAAAGGCTTTGAGGGTCGTGCGGCACACTCCCACCCAATATTAGTGGGATATTTCTATGTGATATACGTTCTCCAAACTAATCCGTCATGCAACTTTCCCGCCAAACGTTCGCGCCATTTAGTGCCCCCCCCCCTAAAATAATCCTGGATCCGCCCCTGTGTATAAAAACCCTGAGTGTTCCATAGGCCTCCTGTTTGCACGCCATTTCATGATGATCCCCTAAGTTTCGTGCATCTTCTTCGATTGTCAGGTCCTCCTCACAGTAAGAGATTTTCCAGGCGGTCACGTGGACCACAAGGGACCGTCGCAGCACTAAAACGCACCTCTTGGTTTCTGCACTGATTTTGGGCTTTTATTCTTATAACTTGTGAACTTGTCTTTCTGCTCTGAACGAACTAACTACTATCATTCTTACATTTCTTGATATACGTTTACAAAATTAGACCAAACCCAAATAACAATTTGATACTAACTATAAACAATTATTATATAGATGATTTCTAACGCGCGCTCTGATTGGCCAAAAAAGTGTGGTTTATGAGAGTATAAACCACGATTGTGCGCGAGCGATTTTTGAAAAAGGCAACAAAATGGACTTTTCCTCAAAATCTATATAATAAAACAAATAAATAAGTCTCAGCCTGTGGTTTATACTCTGATAAACGCACGCTTGGCATTTGAAACACAGTCAAAAATGTCCAGAAGCACTCGCTTTCATCACCAATGATGGAATAACTCCATACTSAGGACGACATTAATTGTCTACAAATATCGATCACGTGAATATCTCTAAGCTGCGTCATAGCTTTAAACTAAAGTAATTGTTTGTAAAAATACAATAATAGCGATATACTTGAACATTTATCAATTATTCTGTAAATTCAATATTTATCTTAACCCTACAACATAAAAATTGCTGGACATAAAAACTTACTGGTAATTTTAAACTATTTGTACATGATTACGCAAGATAAAGCGAGTTAAACACCGACGATCTTATTTTCTCTATRTTACAACCATTTTGACTTTTGTTGTTCTTATTTCATGTTTTTTTATCTCATTTATCAGAGGTCCAGCTCGCCATTCAAACAGTAGGCATATGTGGTACAGATATTCACTTCTGGAAGCATGGCGAGGCTGGCGGGGATGTTCCTGACGCACCTGTTGTCCTGGGACATGAGTCTAGTGGAGTTGTAACAGCACTGGGTGAAGGTGTAACACACCTTCAAATTGGTAAGCAATAACACCAATAAAAATCACATTTCATCAACTTTTCCTGGAATTGTCGAGTTAAGTACGTCAAGCAACTTCAGTATCATATGGCTGGTMAAGATGGTAAAATGTTTGCCATCTTGATTTGACCATAGTTATAGTGATTTGACCAGCTATATGATATTGAAGTTGATTGGGATAATTGCAGCACAGTGTAACAAGGCTATAATTTTTGGCAACTTGTGTTGCAGCAGCCTCGTCATTATGGTCGCACTTAGCCTAGATTTAAATACATTGCAATGCCATTCGATTTTTTCCATTTAGGTGATAGAGTTGCAATCGAGCCTAATGTACCGTGTCATACGTGTCAAGATTGTAAGGAAGGTCGTTATAATCTCTGTAAGAAGTTGAGATACTTTGCTGTTCCACCTTACCAAGGAGCATTGTGCCGAAGATTGAACCACAGCGCACATTTCTGTTACAAGTAAGAAAGGTGTCTGTTACAAGTAAGAAAGGTGTCTGTTTCAAGTAAGAAAGTTTTCTGTTACAAGTAAGAAAGGTGTCTGTTACAGTAAGAAAGTTTTTTGTTACAAGTAAGAAAGGTTTCTGTTACAAGTAAGAAAGGTGTCTGTTACAAGTAAGAAAGTTTTCTTG